GGTCAGAAGTCCATCACAGATAATAATAATAATAGTAATTATTATTATTATTATACTTATCATTATTATTTAGGGCCCGAGCACTGTGAAACAGTACAGCCTGGACAGGTCAGAAGTCCATCACAGATAATAATAATAATAGGAATTATTATTATTATTATACCTTCTTATCTCCTTGTTTCCTGCGTCTCAAACCGGGCCTGTAGTCGTCCCCGAAGCGTAAAAAGTAATAATAGGAGACCAGCCTTTCTATGGGGTCTCTGATCACRTTTATGTAGATGGGTTTTCTCTTCACTCCAAACCTGCAGACAATCACACGGGTCAGAAAACTGAGTTTAACCAAAGCATTTCTCGGTTTTATTTATTCATATTTTCACAAGTTTTAATCTTGAAATGACCACAAGGTGGAGGTAAAAGATCAACAGGACGAACAGCTGTCTTCAGATTTTTTATTTCTCATAGAATGAGTGTCGTCACTCTAAAGCCAGAGGGGTTGAGAAATGATGTGGCTGTTTTGATCGAACCTTTAAAATGACACATTACATGTCCCCTCATGATGAGATGTCACTCTGAGTAAATGTGAATGACTCTCAGCTACTACCACCACAAACTTCAGCTCAATGTCTGAACATCTGACTGATTTAGAGWCATTTTTTGTGTTTGTTAATATAAACTAGACATCTTAGATATTTTGCTAACAGTTTGACTCCAGTTGTTAAATCTAAAACTGAGTAATTAGTTGACATGTTTGGAACGACTCTCAGCTACTACAGGAACAAATCTGTWAAATTAACTGGATTAAGTCATCCTGGCTGTGTGTCAGTTCAGTGGCTGCAGCAGGTGTAGGAGGGTACATTTACACACCGCGCTGTGACATAGGCTGTCCCAATGTGTAGGCACCTACTCAGTGTTGTATAAAGTCCCACAAAGTGATACTTGAGTAAAAGTACAAGTATCTCACCAAAAGATTACTTTGGTAAAAGTTGGTCTCCCTTAGGAATATTACTTGAGTAAAAGTCTTAAAGTATCTGATATTTTTTGTACTTAAGTATTAAAAGTCAAAGTATAGATTTAAAATGAGCAGTTAGATTTTCTGTAAGGACATTTATTAGGAGGTGACCTCCCCAAAAACTGCAGAAATGACTGTTGTATTAAAAGAATGAATGGATGTTAAATTTAGGATGCACTAGTCCAGCTGNAGTGGTTCAGGGAGCATGAGACATCATTTTCACACATGGATTGGCTCCACAGAGTCCAGTGAGAGTCTTTGGGATGTGCTGGAGAAGGTCAGACTCTACCATCATCAATGTAAGATCTTGKTGAAAMATTAATGCAACACTGGATGCAAATAAATTTTGTAGAAGCTTATCAAACAATGGAACACAGRGAATGTGTGCCGTAATCAAAGCTAAAGGTGCTCCAATGAAATATTAATGTGACCTTTTTTAATGTGGCCACTTCTTCTGTCCAGGCAGTGTATGATCTCTTTCAACAGATTACAGCATGGTCACAGTTTTAAACTGCATTTTTGTGCATTTATCTTCTCAAACCTCTTCTTCCAAGCTTACACTGTTATTGTAACATAATTCTTCTTCTAAGTTCTGTTGTAGGAAGGCCACAGCGCCTCCTACAGTCATAAGATGGTCACAGTATACAGTAAAACACTGGAACACATGGTAGATCTGATGGAAATCTAACGTTGACAGCTGGAGCTCCAGGATCAGGTGAAGACCCTGACAGATGTGGGTTCAACATGAGCCCCTCGTTCCCTCTGCAGCAGAGCAGACAGTCAGATTTGAGTCAGCTCTCCTCCGTGGGCTCCATCCTGTTTTGTTTCATTTTGTCTTTTTTTAAAGTGTCGTTTGTTCTGAAATCTGTTGATGGTCTTTAAGTGAATCACTRTGTTTAGGCTGAGGGAGGGGGCAGACTGAGAAAAACTGAATCTGCTGAATCCAAATATCCACCAACCTAAAACTAACTTCACTGGTTTGATRACCTCTTCATTTTACAAGTTAAACTAGTCTTCATGTTCACCGGTCAGTCGGTCACCTGAGGTTGTAACTTTCAGGATGGAGCTTAAATAATAAAATTTGTCAAACTCTGTTTTTCTGGAAGGTGAACAATGAACCAGTTGTAGTTTTGGGTCACAAATCACGTCACAGGTCAGAGTGATCAGGAAAATGTTAAAAAGACCAGCAAAGGGTTCTAATTGGACATTTTATTACTGGATTTAAAATTAGTGGGAATTAAAGAAAAAAAAAAGACAGACTTTGAAAACAAGCACCTTTATGACTTTCKTTTGATTCAAGTTATAATCAAAACATTTCACCTTTTAATAAGAATTATTA